TTTTTATTTTTTTTTTGCTGCACACACACACAAAATATTTTGAAGAATGTTGGTAACCAAACAGTTTTCGGGTCCTATTGACTTGCATTGTATTTTTTGGCCATTCAATGGAAACTGAATCTTTAGTTACCAGCACTCTTCAAATGTCTTCTTTTGTGTTCCACAGAAAAACAAGAAAGCCATACTGGTTTGGAATGACATGATGTTGAGTAAATAATGGTAGAATTTTTTTTTTTTTAAGAGAACTACCCCAGTAAAGCAACACAACATTCAAAAATGAAAATGTATCCGTCATTATTTACTCGCCCTATGTCATTCCTATATGCTGTTTTATCTTCTAGTCCTAGTTGTGTTATGTGGTGCTAAATGAAGACTCGTTTTACACTTTATAGTCACAACATGTTCGTGTGTTTTGCACATAGGAGCTCTGACTGTGGGTCTAGTCAAGCAATGCCAGACCATCCATGGTCGAAACAGGGTATGTGTGTCCCCAAGCCTTCCTCCAGAATGGATCACTACCCTGTTCTTCATCATCTTAGGCATCATCTCACTCTCTATCACATGTGGCCTGCTTGTGATCTCACAATGGTGGCGAGAGGCTACAAAATATGCCCGCTGGATCGCCTTCATGGGAAGTATGTTACCTAAGGGAAATTTAATATGCACAAATAATCCAAATCTCTTAAGTGTTTTAAACAAGCTTGTGTTATTTTGTTTTGTTTTTTCGTAGTGGTCCTCTTCTGCATGGCCGCCCTCATATTTCCAGTTGGATTTTACATCAATCAAGTTGGAGGACAACCTTACAAATTACCCAATAATACGGTTGTTGGGTCCTCGTATGTACTGTTTGTTTTATCAATATTTTTTACAATAGTTGGACTTCTTTTTGCGTGTAAAGTCTGTCTGCCTGGCTGACAAATCCTCTGGGTTTTTTTATGCTACATATTTGACTTTTTCAGCACCAGTGTTGGTTCAACTGATGGAAAAGAAATAGATCCACTTTAAAGGGATGACTCACTGACACAACAGGGATGTTTTATTAGAATGATACTGTGGTCATTAAAAGATTTACATAAACAATACTGTACAGTCAGTCATTAAGGCTAAATAAATCATCCTTGTATCACCCTGAGAGGATTTATTTTTGAATAATGACTGGTGGACTGTACAATATCCTGCTTATGACAAGGCTACTCACCAAATAAATAAATAATATATGGACATATAACATTGAGTTGAAATTATTTATAACATTTTATCTGTATATTACCTTAAAGAAATAGTTCACTCAAAAATGAAAATTTGCTGAAAATGTACTACTCACCCTCAGGCCATCCAAGATGTAGATGAGTTTGTTTCGTCGTTGGAACAGACTGAAGGAATTTTACATGCATCACTTGATAACCAATGGATCCTCTGCAGTAAATGGGTGCCGTCAGAATGAGAGTCCAAACAGCTGACAAAAACATTACAGTAATCCACACGGCTCCAGTCTAGTGATGGGAAGTTCGGATCATTTTACCGACTCGGACCTTTGAGTCTCGTTCAGCAAAATGAGCGAATCTTTTTTCGAGGAGGTAAGAAGTGGATTATCCTCCACCTGAAATGTTTGTCTTTTCATCCTGAAATGCGAGGCAAATGTTGGATCACAATAATTAGGAACCACAGTTTCCACAAATCCCTTCACTCGATTGGGATGTTCTCTTTTATTCTGGAGGGCAAGGGCAGTGACTGTACCATCGAGCGTATTTTGCAGTATTAAACACGTATTTATACAGATTTCATCAGGCTCCGAAAATTCTTCAAAAAGAAAACAAAGAATGGCCTTCTCAGCTGCCATAGTTGCAACTCTTGCGTCATCAGAACAGGGTGTTCAACGCAAAACCGTTTCCGTTAAAAAAAACGTTTTGCACCGTTTTTGTCGGGGCTGAACGCAGCCGTTGTGCCAATTAACTCTGTTTACATCCAGTCATGCTTTCCCATCGGAGGTCCATCAATTAACATCTTGTAAAGTCAAAAGATGTGTGTTTGCAAGAAACAAATCCATCAATAATTTCAAACAGTTGCTTCCAGCTAAAATATGGATCCTCTATCCATAATAATACTTTCTTCAGGTTTACTACACATTAATAAATAAGCAAATTAATCTGAATGATGTACACTCACATGAGATAAAGACTATACTCACAATAGTTCTCTATAAAAAAAAAATAAAAAAAAATATTATTATATGTGGTGCGGGTCGCCCCCTCAATGTATTTCGCCATGTTGAAATGACGTGACCCGCGATATTTCACCAAACGTCAGAGAGAATCATCACGCTCATTGGCTGCCTCCTCCTCCAAGTAGGTATAACTGCAGACCGGAGATCTCCAAAATGGGGCGTGAACTCCAAAAGTGGGCAGAACCTCCAAAATGGGGCGGGGTCTCTTCGCGCAAAGACGTTCACCATTGGCTCTGGCTTCGGCCAATTGTTATTGACTTACATTTCAAAATAAAA